TAGCTAATTAGTTGAGTTTAAAAGAATGGACAGACTTTTCAGACCATAAAGCCCTGGCTTTTCTTTGACTATTTGAACTAATAGGAGACCTAAAACATGAGAACATTTAACAAGAAATATTCACATGCTTACTTTTTCACCAGCCTCTATAGCTGCACTGTCCAATCTTGCATGTGGCTATGTAAGTTTAAATTAATTAAAAGTTCGGTTCCTCATTTTTACTCATGTTGAGCATCGAACATGTGTCTGGGGGCTTCCATGTTGGACAGGGAACTTACAGAACATTTTCAGCATCATAGAAAGTTGTAATGGGCAGTATTGCTTATAGTATCCTGTACTTCCAGTTTGGGATTTGTTATTCTGAGCCCACTATCTCTTAGAGCCTTAAAATTGTCCCCCTAGAACTTACTGATTTTTCTTTTTTTCTTTTTCTTATACCTTACAGGAATGTTGGGCTTGGAACTTGCTCCATGTTCTCCCGAGTTGGTGGGATCATTGCTCCCTTCATCCCCTCACTGGTTGGTTTGTACCCCCTAGTTTTGTTTTTCTTGATTCTCTGCTTTGAAAATGTTTGTGCTCTTGAGTAGAAAGAGGCAGAAAACAGCTGCCATTGAAGATCAGCCTGATGCAGATGTGAACCTTGTGCCTTTTAGATTAAGGGTCTGTCAGTGCAGATGGACCCTTCCCAGGGATTGACTGTGTTCATTGTAGTCAGCTAATGCCAGCCTGAACCTTCCTGTCACTGTTTGTAAGTTAGCAGATTAGCGAGCATTTCCTAAGTTTCTGTTGTGTGCTGGGCTCTGTGCTAAGCCTCCTACATACATCATCTCATGCAGTCTTCACCATAACCTTATGTGCTAGGCATTGGTACCCAGTATTAAATAGTGAGGAGAACACAGCATACTACTTGGAAAAGCAAGTTACAAGAGAAATGTGTGAAAGGGAGATATGAATAGTGTAAATTCCATCCCATCTTCAAATGTCCGTGTTCTGTGAAAAATCCCATGGATCCCCCCTGGGCACGTCTCTGTTGGTCTCCTCTAGGACTTTCCCAGCCAAGACTCGCTGAAACTTGACTAGGTTTGATGTGAGGCTGTGAGCCTGTTCTATAGACAACCACTTATCACTCAGGCTACGATTCACCATGCCCTAGACTAGGATATTTCTGAAGTGCCATTGTGGCCTTCTCTTTTCTTGAGGAAGCAGGATACACTTCCTTTTTCTGAGTATCTCTGTTACTGAGTCCAAGCTCTCTCTGCTTGCTGAGTGACAGGCCAATTAACCACTAATGTCTCAATAGAACCATCTTGTCAGGGTTTGAATGCTAGGTTCTTTCATGAAACACAGAATTGGGGGAGATGAAGAAATAAAATAAAAAGGCCATTCATCTTGCAAATATCTCCCAGAATGGCCAGCCTGGAGATGGGATGTGCTAATCTCTTCTTTCTTGCAGCCGTTCACAGGTGGGCAGGGTCAGATTATCTTTCTGTGAGTTGAGTGAAGGCATTTTCACCCTCGAGCAAGGTTCTTTGTGTGCTGCATGCATGCTAAGTCGCTTCAGTCCTGTCTGACTCTTTGGGAGCCTGTGGACTGTAGCCCGCCAGGCTTCTCTGTCCTTAGATTTCTCCAGGCAAGAATACTGGAGTGAGTAGCCATTTCCTTCTCCAGGGGATCTCCCCGACTCAGGGATCGAACCTGTGTCTCTTACATCTCCTGCATTGGCAGGCAGGTTCCTTACGGCTAGCGCCACCTGAGAAGCCCAAGGTTCTCTGAGGCAGGCCATTATGTATGATTACAATGACAAAAGCAATGAAAACCAAGTCAAAGAAACAGATCCAACATGAAGGAAGAATTAAGTCTTCCCTGAAACATCTCTCCATGTTTCACACTCAATTTTAGATCACAAGACCCTCCTTACGGGTCTTACTAGTTCCATTCTGCAAAATATGTCCAACATTAGGTGTTTATCATTAAAGACACCCAATTTTGGATGGCTGTCCTAGAACGTTATAAAACCCAACATGGTGTTTCCCCTGAGTCCCGCTAAGTTGAGAAGAGGCGAGTGTTCCCCTTGGTTCAGTCACTCGTGTTTGCATGCAGAGGGCGGGAGTCCCCCTCTTCTCCTCCCCATGCCTCCCTCTCCTCCCCCATTATGTCATCACCTTTGAAAAATCAGGAAAAGATGACCAGAGCAGACATTCTAACTAGCCACAGAATTTGGAAGCCCAAACCAGAGATGACAAAACTAGGTGGTTCCCATGCAGGAATTCAGGAATGATAATCAGTTCAGGAATCTCCTGGCGCCAAGTCCTGCAAGGAGCATGATGTTATCTTTGAAATGATATGTTTGTACATAAATTTTCCTGAGAATGTCTTTTGGATCAGCCTGCTAGCATATCGAAACCATCTGCCTAGGTTTCTCTAGGCTTTTCTCTTCCTTTTCAGGGTGTTCAGTTCAGTTCAGACGCTCAGTCTTGTCCGACTCTTTGCGACCCCATGGACTGCAGCATGCCGGGCTTCCCTGTCCATCCCCAACTCCGGGAGTTTACTCAAACTCTTGTCCATTGAACAGCAAGGAGATCCAACCAGTCCATCCTAAAGGAAATCAGTCCTGAATATTTAAGGGTGTTTACACCTTTAACCCCTGAGCCTCTCAGTTCTGGTGCCTAGGGAATCAGCACTCGTGTGTGAGACTGTTTGGCCAGTTCCAGGGCTGGGAACTTTAAAAGTTTATTTGCAGTGCTGCCTGCACGTGGAGATCCCCGTGTCACAGGCCGCTTGCCTGAAGTGGAAGCTGAGTGTCTGGCTCAGCATGCGTCCTGGCCATGTGTCTGCATTGCCCCCACCCTGAGCATAAGACCGTCTGCTGCTTCTGCTGGACACCAGAAGTCCTTTTTATCTGCCCTTTTTATCTGTCTCTGTGCCTGAGGACTGGCTGTAGTTTCCCCCGGCAATTCTCTGTGGGAAGAGGAGGGCTGCGTGGTGTATTCTAGTGGGAGAGCAGGGCCTGGACAGTTAACGGGGCAGGTCCTCAGTCAGGAGACTGCTGATGTCATCTGCTAGGAAACTAACACTGAGTTTTTGTTTGTTTTCATTCCACTCTCTGCCCCCATAGAAGTCTGTGCAGTGGTCTTTACCCTTCATTGTCTTTGGAGCCACAGGGCTGACCTCAGGCCTCCTGAGTTTATTATTGCCAGAAACCCTTAACAGCCCATTGCTGGAGACATTTTCTGACCTTCAAGTATACTCATATCGGAGGCTAGGGGAGGAAGCATTATCTTTGCAGACCTTGGATCCCCCTCAGGTATGACACAATTGTCCTTAATCATTCTGGTTTACTACATGATGACAGTTTTGGGGGGAATAAAAAGAATGTCTGGTTAGAGCAATGTGTGTGTGCTCAGTCACACAGACTTTGCAGCCCCACGGGCTGTAACCTGCCAGGCTCCTCTGTTTCTCAGGCAAGAATACTGGAGTTGGTTGCCATTTCCTTCTCCAGGGGATTTTCCCAGCCCAGGGATCCAAGCTGCATCTCCTACATTGGCAGGCGAATTCTTTACCACTGAGCCACCTGGAAAGCCACCTGGTTAGAGTAATGGAACCAGCAAAAATGCTGGAAAACAAAGGTGGAATCTAATTGCAGCTGATTTTCAGGGAAATAAAGATGATTCATTGCCCCCACCCTGAGCATAAGACCGTCTGCTGCTTCTGCTGGACACCAGAAGTCCTTTTTATCTGCCCTTTTTATCTGTCTCTGTGCCTGAGGACTGGCTGTAGTTTCCCCCGGCAATTCTCTGTGGGAAGAGGAGGGCTGCGTGGTGTATTCTAGTGGGAGAGCAGGGCCTGGACAGTAAACGGGGCAGGTCCTCAGTCAGGAGACTGCTGATGTCATCTGCTAGGAAACTAACACTGAGTTTCTGTTTGTTTTCATTCCACTCTCTGCCCCCATAGAAGTCTGTGCAGTGGTCTTTACCCTTCATTGTCTTTGGAGCCACAGGGCTGACCTCAGGCCTCCTGAGTTTATTATTGCCAGAAACCCTTAACAGCCCATTGCTGGAGACATTTTCTGACCTTCAAGTATACTCATATCGGAGGCTAGGGGAGGAAGCATTATCTTTGCAGACCTTGGATCCCCCTCAGGTATGACACAATTGTCCTTAATCATTCTGGTTTACTACATGATGACAGTTTTGGGGGGAATAAAATGAAAGAATGTCTGGTTAGAGCAATGTGTGTGTGCTCAGTCACACAGACTTTGCAGCCCCACGGGCTGTAGCCTGCCAGGCTCCTCTGTTTCTCAGGCAAGAATACTGGGATTTCTCAGGCAAGAATACTGGAGTTGGTTGCCATTTCCTTCTCCAGGGGATTTTCCCAGCCCAGGGATCCAAGCTGCATCTCCTACATTGGCAGGCGAATTCTTTACCACTGAGCCACCTGGAAAGCCACCTGGTTAGAGTAATGGAACCAGCAAAAATGCTGGAAAACAAAGGTGGAATCTAATTGCAGCTGATTTTCAGGGAAATAAAGATGATGCATTAGCTTTCTTAGAACACTTTAGGGACTAATTCTTAGGGGAATAAGTGTCATCAGAGTACCTTTGTCAGTTGAATGCTAGACAGTAATTTATTTTAGAAATGTCATGACACCATTTCCCTGCCCTTTTCTTCTCTCCTGCTTTAGTCTGTGGACAAGGAGAGCCCTTTAGGAAGTGAGAGTGATGAAGAGGAAGAGTTTTATGATGCGGATGAAGAGACTCAGATGATCAAGTGAGGAGCCCCCAGGTTCCTCCTCAGAAGCAGAGGATCATTTTCTGTGCCTCTGTCGAGGGCAGGTGCTCCTGGGAAATTGCAGAGAGCTGTGGAAAGAAAGGCTTGAACAAACAGAAGGTACTCAGTGTGGCCTGCTGTTTTATAGGCACCAAGGAAGTTGGAGAAGAGATTTCCATGAACAGGACATCACTGCCTTGAGTGAAAAGCTATTATTTGCCTACAATTGAGGTATAGTGCAGAATCATGACCTTTGACCAGATTGCTCAATTCTGCATTCCAGAGTGGTAAGCTCAGTTGTTTCTAGAAGTTTGATTATGTTGCTTTTCAACTTCATTGTGACCTAAAGGCAAATATGTAAAATTTCTTCTCACCATTAAGATGGAATCTGTGTACCAGAGTTGACATCTGCCCCTCTCGCGGTTGCTCCTTACCAGGAATCTTTGGAGGCAAGTTGATGTTAGCATTGCATTCGTTTTTGTGCCAGAAGAAAAGCATTGAGAAATCATTTGTGTGACCTGAGGCCCTCCAGCTTTAGCCCAAGTGACCTGGGCCCTCAGCTTGGTCCCTGGTCCAGTGATTGGTCCCAGCTTCTTGTGTTAGTCTGACAGATGACCCACTAGAAAAATCCAGCTGCACCAAAGTAATGTTCAGAGTCCAAGGTGTGACTGCACCCCCTCCAACCCCTCAGCAGCTCCGTTTGATACTCAGATTTCCATCTCAGATTCTAGTACCAGCAAAACTTCCAAACATGCCCAGTAAATGATGACATTTTATAAAGGGCAAGGGCAGTTAAAAAGTGACATGTTGAGCCCTTCTGTTGAGCCCTTGGATGTTTAAAGGGGAGGGAAAAGATGCCATTTTTAATAAGGAAGAAAAGAAAATTATCTTTCACAATTTTATGTTTGTTTTGTCTTCAGTGTTGTGCAAGGAGGGACTTGGGCAACCTTTAAGGACTTGAACTCATTTAGTCCTAGGTCAGCCCCAGCCTGTTGAGTTTAGCTAGAATGGAAGGCACAGGAATTTCCTAGGAAATGTTGGTTTTCATTAAGTACTACCGGCTTTCAAATAAAATCTGTCATACTCTGTTTTCTCAAATCATGTGCTGGAAGTGTTTCCTGTGAAACTCGAGTGTTATCTCAAAAAAGAAGTGTTATCTTGGAGTCAACAAGCTTGGACAGCGTTGCTTTAGGTCAGTTTCCCAACTGGGACCGTTTCTGTGTTTTCAGAATTTCCATTTCTGCTAATCTGTTGGAGAAAAAGAAATTTCATTAGAAATAGAAGTCATCACTGTGTCTGTTTCTGGAAATCTTGGAGGACTCACCTCGAATTGGCTCCAACCCTCTCCTGTCTTCTTCCATTTACCTCTTGGTTTCTACTATACTAGCCTGTACCTATGTATTTGTTAAAGTGTTTTATATCCTTCATGCCCTTATGTATGGGGTTCTTTATAAATAGGAAGCATCTTTACTACTGTTTATTTCTCTCCGCTGTACCCAGAACACAATATGTATTGCTGTTTCTAGCCATCAAGGAAGTTGTAGAACTCCTGCCAGTATCGTTTTTATCCATCACAGGCAAATCTGACCCAAACCCCCAAATTGTGGAATCTTGGCATCTTTCTCTGGAAGATGGAGACCCTGCCCACCATCAAGAGAAGGAGAAAGGAAGAACTTTCAAGGACACTTAGAAGCTCTTTGTTGTGAAGTTAAACGTAAAACAACAAGCTAACATATAGGTGATTCTTGGCTGGTTGTCAGCCTCTTTGCATTATAAGAGTAATAACCCCATTATAAAAAAATGTGGAAATTAGAAGTTAAAAAAATGTGTTACTCATAGACTCAATACCCAGAGACAGCTGGTGCTGTGGCTTTGTTCTCTTTGAAGACTAACTGGTAATCCATCTTTTTTGTTGGCACTGGGGTTCCCTCTGCCTCTGACTAGATAAATAAGGATTCCATTAGTTCTGTCCCTGGGAATTCTCTTCTTCCAACTCTAGGATAGAAGAAGGGAGGGACGGAAATACAGTTTGAATACATGTTGCTAAGGCTGGACTACCAGCTGCTCATGTCAGATGTGTCACTAAATTTCTTTAGTGTTTCTTTCCTGACAGTCTTTTGGCAAAGTTTAATAATTTGCCTTTTGTAAAAACAAATTTTGTTTCCTTTTGCTGTTTACTGTTGAAAAATAGTGATTGTGGAGATTGTGCACATGAGTACATTTGTGTTGATTAAATTATTGGAAAACTCTTAATTTATAGGTAACATGTTGTTTTCTCAGATGATTTGTAAAAGGTTTCCTTTTAAATGTCTTTATTGTATTCAAAATTAAATTTCTTCTCTCCAAAAAAGCAACAAGGAAAATGTAAGACACATGAGAAATCCCAGGGCTTCCAGGATCTAAGGTCTTATCAACAGCTCGTCCAGAACTTAAGCACCACACAGATGTCTTGAAAGAAACTGTGCTGTAGGGTTTTTTTTTTTTTTTTTTTTTGTGCTGTAGTTTTTTGATCAGTGAGTTAAAAACCACTGCCCATTGAAAATGCAGTATTTGTCATTTGGCTGACTTCAAGTGATAACAGACATTCTTTAGTATCTAAAAATAAATAAATAAACACAAATACAATAAGTAAGAAGCAAATAAATTTTCCTGGGATGCTGCCCAAGTAAATGTGATCTGGACAAGTATTTTTATAGAGGTCAAATTGATAAAGATACTTCTAATAGATTTATGTTCTTAACAAAAACATTGCAATAATTCTCCCTACTAAACCAGAATTAAAATGCATCTTTCTAATAGAACTGACTCCTCCATTACAACTTTTTATTAGATCATTAGTTCTTAAATTGGACATCTATAAAGGATTTTTTTCAGTAAATAAAATGCAGCTTTTTTGGCTTCTTGTGAATATGATAGAGAATTGTAAAACATAGGCTTTTTCTTTTGTCCTTACAGAATATGTCAGAGTGTATACAGTAGCATCTTTGACAAATTGAGCAAATATAGAATATGCTAGAAACTATGGGTGGTGTGTGGGACAGGGGCTATAGCAAGTTTAGGGAGCTGGTGGATGCAGAAGTTAACTATAAAAATATATCTAGGAGAAAAATGCAAAGATAGGGCTTGGTTAGAAAATTTATCTGTGTAGTATATTAGAGGGAAAGACCTTATGGCTATCTCAATAGATGTGCTTAGTTGCTCAGTTGTGTCCGACTCTTTGCAACCCCATAGACTGTAGCCCGCCAGGCTCCTCTGTCCATGGGATTCTCCAGGCACAAATACTGGAGTGGGTTGCCATGCCCTCCTCCAGGGAATTTTCCCATTCCAGGGATTGAACCCAGGTCTCCCACATTGCAGGTAGATTCCTTACCATCTGAGCCACCAGGGAAGCCCATCTCAATAGATACATGAAGATTACTTGACAAAATTCAACACCTATTTAAAATAAAAGCTACTAGCAGACAAGGAATAAAAGGAAACTTCCTTCGCAGGATAAGGGGTATTGTAGTACATAAGGTTAATTGGGACATAAGATCTTGTCACCTTCCCAGAACTTTGGCCTTCAGACTTTATTAATAATGACCACAATAAGTAATGGATTCTTTCTCATCCCTCTTCTTCCATCTCTTTCTAATCTCCGTTTCTATTTCTCTTTCTTCTTACCTTACAAATACCTACTAGAAAATGTTTAAAATACATTAAAATATGTATATCAAACTTTCATGAAACATGTTTGTTCTTAAGATAGCTTATATTCTGTCCCATTTTGTTTTTTAAAATGCCATTTGTGATCCACTAAACCAGTTTCATGACCTACTAGAACATAAAAATCCATGGTTCTTCTCTGTCTTCTTGTACTGCAGAGGCTTTAAAGCTAAGTTGTACATTTCCCAAACACCCTTTGCAGCTAGGCTTCTAGGTGCAGTGAAGTTTCCGTCACTCAGATTCAGATGGAATTGGGAATGTGGGAGTGAGGTGGAGGCTGTACTTGTGGTGGATCCTTTTTTCTTACTGGAGTCTACAAAGATGGTTGGTTTTGCTGAGGCAGTCTCAGTAGAGGTGTTGACAGCCAGGGGCAACACATATTAAAACCGTAATAAGATTTTTTTTTTTTTTAACACAGAACCTGGAAAAATAACTCTGGTTAAGGAAAAGTAAAGATTCAAAAGTACTCAACAATCCCCAAAACATAAGGCAAGCAAGAGACTTGACTTCCCAGATATTAAAACTTTTTGAAGCCATGGTATGAGTGTAACAATAGATAAGCAGATCAGTAAAACATAATAGAAATCTCAGAACAAGACAAAGGATATATAACGGGTTTGGCATTTTTTGAAGATGGTATGACAACTCAGTGGGGGCAAAAAACTGAGCAATTATTGTTGTGGCAACTGTTGGGTTTCCATATCAAAAAATAAGATAAAGTTATACCCTTTCTACACACCATAACAAAAGTTCCAAGTGTGTTGAAGAACTTAATGGAAAAAGGCAAAACTTTTTTAAAAATTATAAAATGATACAGGAGAATGTTCTTATGACCTTGAGGGATAGATGGATTTTTCAGACAGAAAGTAAAAATCACAAATCATTTTTAAGAAGATAGGTTGATATGTTTCACTACATCTAAATTTAAAACTTCTTTCTATATGACTAGACACACCACAAAATTAAAAGCAAAGCAATAGATTAGGAAAAGAATATTGGCAACTTCTGTAAAAGACAAAGATCAGTATCCAGAATGTAGAAAGAATTAGTGCCGATCAGAAAGAAAAATAAGGAGGAAGCTTATAAAATATATTTTTAGGTAATTTACAGCCTCACTAAAGGATCAGAGAAATGCAAATTGAAACAATGTTAAGTTATTCAAAATCCATTAGATTGGAAGAAAAGAAGAGTTCTAAAACAACATTTTAAAGATACAAAGAAGAAGGAATTTCTCTACATTCTGATAGAAGTATAAATTGACTTACCAACTTGATTGTCAGTAGCCAGTGAGGTTGAAAAATGTAAACATTCTGTGACACAGAAATTCTACTTCTATATCTATTAATATGTCCTAGAAGAGTTTTCAGATATTTTGAAGAAAATTGTTTCACACTGTGCCATGCATAGTACACAAACCTACATATCCATATCCATATGTACATATATATCACCAATAATTTTTTATACAATAATACCATTACTAGATGCATTGCATTGTATTTTCTATGCTATGATATTTTACTTTAAAATGAATATTGGTGAAGACACACAAAAATGATTTCACAATTCATAAGCAAATGAAAGCAAGCAGTTGCAAGAAGTGAAACATAATACCTTTCATATTTACCTTCTTACTGGCCTAGTGTGCTTGTCTGCAAGCAGACATGTACAGAGATGTCCACTATAGTTGTAATGAAACAATGAAATTAAATACCTTCAGTAGGGAAATGTATGGATACCATTTTATATTCAGGAAATGGAATTAAACCTGGGACTTCCATGCACTGAGGTGGATGGATGTTCAGTGTTGAATCAAATGTTAGCTAATCTTTTCTAGATCAAAGTTATTTCATGGTTAAATTCTTTAGTGAGTGACAGGAGTATTTGCCAGTTAAGGAGATCCAAATGCTTTTTAGGCCATACTTTACAGTCAAGACTGTTGTTGTTCTGTTGCAGAAATACAAGTCTCACCATTATCCCTACCCAAATGAAGAGTTATCCCCCTTCCCTCTACATCTGAATTTCTCTTGGAAAAGAGCTTTGCATCTGTGAAAACATTTAGACCACTTCTCAACCGAGACCCTACAGCTCTGTAATATAAATCTTAGAAGAGATTAGTTATTTATTGAAAAACATCAGGGACAGATGTAGCCAAATGAGTATTAAAATAACTCCAGTCTGGACCTTGCAGAACAATTGATTTTGAATAGACTAGATTCTGATGGAATTGCTTTGCTTCAAAATATAACTGGGTGAAATGATTGTGTAAGATAGGTAAAGATGCACACTCAACTTGGAGGTGAATTTAATAATAAATGAATGATTTACCAGTACGTGGGCAGAGCTTCCAGAAACCACAGAAGAGAAGGCAGTATGCAGAAGGCAGCCCTTTGGTACAGTCTGCACAGGTCAGCCTCCTAGGCCCAGCACAGGTTGAGGACTGGGTCCACAGAGGTAAACTGTTCAGTACTGGGAAACATTTCACCATGTATAGGATGTTTGTGTTCCTATTTGCTATAGCAGGTGGCATGCATCCATTTAGTTGTGTAGCAGGATCCAGTTATATGTGTGTGAATGTAACAGAGGAGGGACTGTAAAGCAGCGATTCACTTTCAAATAAAATTCTTCCCGTGCTATGTATTATCATTATGTTTTCCACTGTAGTTTTCTCTGAATGTGTACTATAACCAAGAGAGAAGACAAAGAGTATTTTGCTTCTACAGGTAGAATAGCAGCAGAACACACTGGTGGTTAGGAAATGTCAATCAAACTAACTTTTCCATAAAGATTCCCATAAGACTCCTTTAAAAAAAATTTATTTATTTATTTGTCTGTGCTGGGTCTTTGTCACTGCATGGACTTTTCTCTGGTTGTGGCGAGCAGGTGCTACATTCTAGCTGCAATGCCCGAGCCTCTCATTGTAGTGGCTTCTCTTGATGGGAGTGTAGGGTCTCGGGCACACAGGCTTCAGTAGTGGCAGCACGTAGCCTCAGTAGTTACGGCTCCCCAACTCTAGAGGACAGGCTCATTAGT